CATAGTCACAAACTTCTCATATAACTACATAACACTGCAATTCAAAACATAGCATGGCCAAAACTAAGGCTCCACAATTATCTTTCCGGTAGCATGGCCATTGCTGATCTTAGCCCAAGCATCCTCCGCCTTGGCCAGGGGATACTTTGAGTCAATTATAGTCTTCAGCTTCCCTTCTTTCACCAACTTAGTAAGATACTCAAGGTTATCAGCCTTGGGAGATAAGAACAGTGGCACCAGTTGCTTCTTAGAAAAGGTAAATTTCTTCAGTGCAACGCGCAACAGAGAGCTGAGGGTGCGAGTAATATCTATTACCTTACTGTTCGCACTCAAATTAGGCTCAAAAGTTGACCAAGGAATGCCTGTTGCACATTGGATCACAACATCATATTTTCGACCAGATGGACTCCTACGAGCTGCACCTTCTGGGGTCTTGTAGTCAATAACCTCATCAGCCCCTAGGCTTTTGACCAGTTCAATGTTGCAGGCACCACAAGTGGCTGTAATATGAGTATTTCCGAGCTTTGCCAACTGAACCGCGTAGAGACCTTCACCACCTGAAGCAGCTGTGATCAGGATGTTTGCTTGCGGACCACTTCCATCAAGCTTGATCCCACCAGGTTGTGTAAGAGCCTGGTGAGCTGTGAGACCAGCAACGGGTAATCCAACAGCAGTGGCTGCTGAAACTTCCGGTGGCCTTGCAACAGTTACACTCTCCATTGTCACGGCAAGTTCAGCTAGTCCACCTCCAGTCTTTTATTCATTGTCGAAGAATAGAATGAGACAAAAACGGACATGGTATGTATCAATGAATGATGCATGAGATATCTAGGTGACACATTCTGTCACTGGGTTTGCATATTAGAGCAACTCCAGCGTTGGAGCCCTCCCCCCTGGCAATACACTATTCAATCCACCTAATGAACAGTAACTGCCCTTAATGAACAGTAAGTAGCCCTGACAATAGAATTTGCATCTCCACCGTTACACTTCAATAGCCCTGGCAATAGGCAATAAAATATTAGTATTTTTTATTTATAAAATAATACAAAATAATTTTAATTGTAATATCGGATAAGATTTTTAATCGTTCTCGTTGCGCCACGTGTCATTATCCGAAGTATTATTAAATAATACAAAATAATACAATTATTGGTGATGGATTTCTGATAAGATTATTAACCAATCACGTCGCGCCACGTGTCATAATCGGTTCACAATCTTTGAGGATAGATTTCCATCAGATTTTGAACGAATGACGGCATGCCACGTGTCATAATCTGTTCACAATCTTTGAGGATAGATTTCCATCAGATTTGTAACGAATGACGGCATGCCACGTGGCATTATGCAGAATCTAATCCTTTCTGAATCCTCTATATAATCCATCATCCATCCTCACAAATCTCACACCAAAATTCTCAAGATCTCTATCATTATTCATAGTTTCTGCTTCCTTATTCACAAAAATCTGTATCATTATTCATAGTTTCTGTTTCTTTCTTTCAATGTCTTCTTCTTCTTCCTCAATAAGTAACTAGCAAATATATACATATATATATAAGTAACAAATATAATGAAAATAAGTAACTAGCAAATATATACATATATATATAAGTAACAAATATAATGAAAATAAGTAAGAAGGCTTCAAGTTTAGTAAATAATGAAAATAAGTAACTAGCAAATATATATATATATATATATATATATATATATATGTCATGTTAATCATAACATGGGGCTAGAGTTCCAAGTTTAGTAAATAAATAATACAAACAAACAAATAAATAAATAATACAAACAACATAATTATAATGTAACAAATAAGTAACAATAAATAATAAATTTTGTACGTAACAAATAAATAATACAAACAAATAATTATAATGTAAGTATGTAACAAATAAATAATACAAACAAATAATTATAATGTAAATTTGGGTATCAAATAAATAATATATTGTTACCTGATCCGAGTAATTTTCCCCACTTCGAATATTACTACTAGCTTGTGCCAAAGCGTCTCTCCATGTACTAAACGATTGGCTAAGTAATTTCCAACGACTGGACATCGATTCTTTGGTTCTTTTCCCACCAATTTTCTCAAGAAAATTGGTATGAATAAGACTCCACATTTCTCGCACCTGCATCTCATTACCCGTAAGCGAACTATGAGTAACTTCAACCCAGCTAGTACACAACGCAACATCTTCAATAAGCGACAAATTCGTACCTGCACCAGTGGTCATTTTGTTGAAAAAAAATGGATTCAAACTTTGAGACAAAGAAAGGAATGTGATTGAAAGTAGTTGAGAAAATATGAAATTGTTGTGTAAGGTAGATGATAATGAGAAGGTATTTATAGAAAAGTAAAAACAATTTTTTTTACAATTTTTTTCAGATTTTTCAGATATTTTTTTGAATTTTTTTGAATTTTTTACAATTTTTTTTTTAAATTTTTATTCAATTAATTAATCTCTGTTGGATATAAAAAAATTTGAATTCCAACACTCCAGATTGTGCCACGTGTCACAACGGTAACTTTTCAGATTTTTAAAACTATTTTTTCATTTTTTTTTTAATTTATAAAGAATTTTAATATCCACCGTTGATCTCAGATCGAACGGTGAATATTAAATCTGACTTTTTTTTTTTTTTTTACCGTTGAGATCTAACGGTCCACATTAAGTGACCGTTAAGATCTAACGCACCGTGGGAAGCCACGTGGCTTCCCAACGGTAACTGACAATTGCTTTTTAAAATTTTTTTTGTGTCGGCGACGCGTCCCCACGCGGGGGTGGGGTGCACGCATCTGACACAAAAAAAATTAAATAATGCGCTGACGCCACCCTGGCGTCAGCCTTGCGTCACCCCCACCTCGGGCTCAAGGCCTGGCAATCCCTCACGGGCCTGGCCCTCGGGCCTCCCCCTGCCTTCGGCCTCCCCCACGCTGGAGCGACGCCACCGGCCCTCGGGCCATTGTTTTGGACCCCTTCCCCCGAGCAAAACCCCACGCTGGGGATGCTCTTAAGCACACCAAAAGTGGTTTTTACATGCAATAGTTCAGTCTCATGCCGACTTGAATGACACTAGGTAAAGAGGCACACAAAGTCGATGAAGGGTTAACGAGGGTTTACAAATACAACAACTCAGATTGGAACAAATGGATTCAACTTTTCAAATTAGTAGAGACTTATTCAGACATCATTGATGAAAATAATAGTTCTAAATTAAGTTATGTCCATCTATATGCATGTTTCCTAGATGTATGTGGAGCCTAAAAGATGTTATTTCCAAAACATGATATGGAAGCTTAATTCCCTTTTTCAGAATTATGTTATCCTTTCAGTTAAATTTTACTTCGCCGACAACGAAGACTAAATTTGAAGAATTTCAAGTGAAACAGAGAAAATGAGCTAGTATATAAGGGAACTTACGAGAGTGTTAACCTTTGCAACAACTTTATCACCAGCTTTGAAATTTTTTACTCCAGGTCCTACCTTTACAACCTCTCCTGCCACATCGATACCTGTTCCGAGTTCCACCAATGGATATTTTCAGTTAACAAAACGACTTCTCACAAAATGTGGTCCTGTGAAAACTTCTACATAAAACATGTTAAGAAATGCATCCCACCCTCTCCTTTTGAAGAACTCGAAAAACTATGCTGTCCCCGTTGCATATCCCTTTACTCTCTCTCTCTCATCACGATACTATCAATGTTTACGTAAGAATCTCTCCCCGGAAAACACACAAATTCCACTCCAGAAGTTTATTAGATGAAATGAACAAGAAACAGTACATTCAAATGCAAAGTATTAGCGTGTTTAAGCATTTGTTGAAAATTTGAATGTACTGTTTCTTAGACTAACTTGGTCATTTTATTTTGGATGGAAAATTAAATAGAAATTGGATGTCAAAGATCTTCGGCCAACTTCGTATATAGCTTGTTCATATCAAAACCACTGTCAAATATACTTTACAAGAAAATGAACATAAATCAAATAATCCATATCATTAAAAATACAAGACCCACACATTCCACTATTAGACATCTCATATAGCACACAACTAAAGCAACTGTATCAGACAACTCTTGCATTTATAATTTGTTTGAGGGTACATGACTATATTTCGTCTACTTAAGCCTCAACGATGACCTTCCCGGTTGCATGTCCATCGATACTCTTAGCCCAAGCATCTTCGGCCTTGCTCAGAGGATGTGTCGAGTCGATTACCGTCTTGAGCTTTCCTTCCTTCACCAACTTAACAAGATACTCAAGGTTCTCAGCCTTGATATCAGCAAACAGCGGCACCAGCCGCTTCTTCGAGAAGGAGAGTTTCTTCAGAGCAAAAGTAAGAAAGGCACTTGGACCAGGAGTGATTACTATGACCTTCCCGTTGGAACTCAAATTAGGCTCAAAAGTTGACCAGGGAACACCGGTGTTGGTTGTGCAGTGGACCACGACATCATATTTCCGACCAGATGGGCTCTTCAGAGCTGCTCCTTCTGGGGTCTTGTAGTCAAGAACCTCATCTGCCCCTAAGCTCTTGACCAATTCAACGTTACGAGCTCCACAAGTGGCTGTAACATGAGCATTACCGAGCTTGGCTAATTGGACTGCATACTGACCCACACCGCCAGAGGCAGCAGTAATCAATATGTTCTTTTGCTGCCCACTTCCGTCAAGCTTGACCCGAGCAGCTTGCGTGAGACATTGGTGAGCTGTGACGCCAGCAATAGGTAAGCCTGCAGCTTCAGCTGCTGAAACTTCGGGTGGCCTGGCCACTGTCATGTTCTCACTAGCTGTGGTGTACTCAGCCAGTCCACCTCCAATCTATCCATATGTAAGATGACAACAGAAAATTCTTATATGCACAATGAGCTATTCAAAAAGGGGAAAAAGTAACCAAAGGATTAAGATAAACACTCACAGCAGCGGTCAGATATGCCACAACTTTGTCGCCCGGTTTGAACTTTTGGACGGCCTCTCCAACTTTTACAACCTCTCCAGCAACATCAGTAACTGTTTTCAACGATATCATTACCCGATGTCAACAAACCAACCTACCAGCCTAAGACTCACAGACATGAATGCATAAACCACAAAACAACTCGTCTCGCAATATAGGAGCAATATCAATCCATTTTAAAGTCAAAGCATAAATTTGTTTCATAATCCAGCTTTTTTTTTTTTTTTTTTTTTTTTTTTGGGTCAATCCAGCTAATTTATCTACCTCACAGCTCTCCAAATACTTCAATGTATGATGAGAGTTTTACAACAACATGAACTAATCTGTAACCATTATGCCCAATTCTTTAAAGAGGGCAATCTCTTTGGGACACCGAGTAGTGCATGATTTTGTTTCAAACGCCGTAGTAATTAATCAACATCAGGTAACTTTATTAATCAGTTCAATGTTGTCGTAATTAATCAAATTTAAGTAACTTTACTTTATCATCAGTACATTGCCTGGCCTGCGGCAGCTTATATGACACGAATTGAATTATGAAGGACCCTCAAACGTTAATTGACTGGAACAGGGTGGTTATTGAAGAATTTAACAAACCTAAGTAATTAAACTTCCCCAAATTCTACAGGCAGTGATAGAAAATTTGCAAAACAAGCACTGCAAAGTCATATGATAAAAACTTTTGAAAATGAGGCAGGTAAAAAGCTCGAGTCTTCAGTTATTGTCGAGAAAATTTTCAAGGTGCCCAAAACACGAGGCGGAAGATCACATGTTATTATACAATTGGATGAAAGTTTTTTTTTTTTTTTCAAGTGTTCCTCTAATTGTAGAATGAAATATGGTGTTCCGCCTCGTGTTTCAGGCACACTAAAAAAAT